AAAATCAAAAATGCAACATCAAGGATGTTTTGAGGTTTGAGGACTTGATGGAAAGTTTTATGTATGGTTTGTGGGGTGTGGCAGCGACAGAACCATTTCACTTAACTGTAACTCTCTCTGCAGTTTTGCTTAAAACTTCCCCAATTTCCACGGGTACAATCTTTGAAATTGACCTCTGGAGGGCCACCGAGCCCTGTGTATTTTGGGGAAGAGCTCTACTTTGCACAATCTCCCAAAGCCCACAAACTCCTACAAAAACTGCAGGTCAGGTGGCTTTTGAAGGCTTTTGGGTGGTTTTCACAATACTACATGTACCATGCCATGAACAAAAAGAATCCCGGTCTGCAATGACAGGAAACTTAAATAAGAGGAACAGTAACACACATAAATTGTTAAGCCCACTCCTCCTAGGTACCTCATAACCATAAAGCTATATACACACACATGTACAACAACTACAGCGCTGACTCTTAAGTGATGCCTGCTGGGCGCATCCACGTTTGTACATAAACTTATGGGAAAACTCCAAATGTTGTATGGCTTTTGTACTGTTATTTCAATTATGGTTTATTACATGTTAATACATGTACATTACATTTGTGACAGTCAAAAGGCTGACATTGTACAATTAAATGAAATAATTAAAAGAAAAGAAAAGAACCAGAAAATTACTGTTTACCATGAATGCAGAAAACCAAGAATCCTTTTTTTGCATCATCCGAAACAAAGATACATAGATACTGGTGGGATATTATCATAAATCGTTAAAATTTGTGTTAATCTTTGAAACCAAACACAATCCAACAAACAAAAATACAAGCTCAACAAATAAAACGACAAATCTCATTTTTAAAAGCCCAGAAAATCTACAGAAAAATTGTAAATTGAAATTTACAGTTTAGGAGATTGACAAATTAAAGCAAAAGCGTCGACAGTTAAGATGAACCACAAGAAGTTGACAAAACAGAAGTTAAAAAGAGAAGCATAGGCCAGCCAAAAATGAGACCTAAGCAGCAACTGAACAGCTCCGTAAGTGTTTGCATATCTGTGTCTGTATTGTAAAACGATAAGTCAACAAAGCCGAAATGCAAACAACCTGAACGCACAATCAGTAAATGAGCATTTCATTTTGCTCAATGCCAAAAAATCTGTGCGTGTATGCGCTGCACATGAATTTTTCCGTGACTTTTTTAATCGTATTTTATTGGTACCCGATGCGCACGACAGCTGCTGCTCCAGGGCTGTCAACTCAACACTGACTGAATTAAGGGAATAACCTCTTGATTGAGCTGAACTTATTCATCAAAAGACAGCCATCCAAAGAAATGCATTCCTTTTAAAAATAATCAGCCATGGATGTTAAATAAACATGTGCATAGCTCTTTATGTGTGCACCATATTCGAAGGACACGCTGATCTTTGTGTATATTTAGAATACCGGTACATTATAAGATACTCATTTTATCTGATTTGGAATGTTCTACAAGTACACACATGGGCTCAAAATGTCTGCGCCCAGTACGGCATCAAATTTTCTCTGTGCAGAGAAAAAAATTAGCACTCTAGTTTTTATATACACATGTAGCTCTGTGTTCATAACCCATCAAAAGGTTTTAAAGGAGGGTAGAACTCTACTATTACTACTTGCTACTGGTTTCCTGCAGAATAGAAGATTTTGGGTACCAAGGAAAGGACTGGGAGGACAGTAACACCCTCCCAATTCTGAATCTGCACCAGGCAGTATAGGAAATATCAAGGCAGCACTCTGCAGGCAGTCAAGAATATACTGAGATTTGATAAAGTTGTGCTCAATGTACACATACCACTACCAGTGTAAAACAGTTTCAACTTTGCTCTGTTTCACTCTCATAATTCATATAAGAATCTGCTTTGATGTTTCACTTTCAGTAAGATTTTATAACGGATAACCTTGCTTCCACTGGCAAATCAGATGGAAAAGCTGCAATCTGGCAATCCGTTATACACTGAGTTACTTCTTGGTATTCGTAAACATTTAAGGTTCCTTAACTTCATCAAAGAAGTACCGAGGTGCATCAAAGAAGTACGCAGGCTCACATGAGGAAGTGTTTGGTTCTGCTTGAACACAGCACGGCTTTTGGACATTAAGCTGTATCAGGAGTGAAACTTCGACAGTTCACAAGTTGTTTC